ATGCTAGTGACCTCAGTGTGACACGTGGCGGCCCTGTTACGCACGCTTGGCCCTTCGTGCATGCGTCCTTTAGCGTGTGGGTCTTCTTTGTTATCTTGACATCAGGACGGCCATCAGGTGCTAGTGGACATCTCAGGCCGTGTTCACGGCCCTTTGGGACTGCCGGCGTGACCTCAGGATGACGAGGGTGATTACTCACGTTGTGGGCCGTCCTAACATAGGGTAGGTGTAAGGATTCGGTTTAAGGTCAAACTCTAGGTTAGGTTCAGGATTGTGCTAAGGTTTGGGTTCGTGTTAACCGTGGGGTTTAGTGTAGGACTAAGGTTAAGCTTAAAGTTAACGCATAGTTTTATGCAGATAGCCTTGGCCGTAAAGAAGACGGAGATTGGAGTGGCAACTTCTGGCTAATTAGCCGTCATCAGCCAGCCATATCTGAACCCGGGCGTTACGCCACCCGAGGCTCGAACCCGCGACCTTTTGACCATCAGAAGTTTAAGGCTCCAACTCTTGAGCTACGGGCCCCTTGTCTTGCCGGTTAAGATCGGGGAGCTATTGACACTCATAGATGAACGTTAACCGATCGCTAACAGAATTCACTTGTATCGCCCTGCCTTGAGCTTCTGTCATTTTCTCCAAATAGACTGACACAGCGTACACTTTTGGGAAGGGAAATACACTTAACTAGTACGCACTCCTGCCTACAGAGAGTCCCTGCAACCTCCACACCCACTTGAAGATGTTTAACTGTGGGTTGCAGTCGATCCGCAGTTTGTCTCAACTTATAGTATTTTTTGCTTTTTCTTTATAGACAAAGACTCCTGCAGGCCAACGCCCTTCTCAAAGCAAACCATCATCATCGAAGAAGAAGCCAAAGAAGACCCAAATTTTCTTCCCGTCACGTGAGATGGTCATGCCGAAGAGACGTCTGCCGGACTCCAAGAAGTCAACTGTTGCCAGCAAAGGCCCTCCAAGTCCCCTCTCGGGGAACGACTTGTCTCCTGCTGCTTCACCCTCTGCCTGTTCCGACTCTAACACTGAGCCTATGACAGATCGGGAACGTAGTGCAGACGTTGAGATGCCTCTGCCGAAGAGCGAGTCGCCGCCGCAGCCCCGCTCCCCCGAGCGCCACGTACCAGCACCACTACAGCCTGCGTCAA